TTCTCTCAGTGCTACGGGGATCACTCCTATTCTTCTCTCCTATTATTTCTTTATTCATGTATTTATTTAGAAGTGATTATGTTGATTTTTATAATTAGATTATTTATATATTTTTTCTGTATACATGTGCATATATATATCAATAATAATACATTTTATTTATAGAGCACTTTTCACAGTACTTAGAGAAACTTTACATTAGTTAAAGTGGTCATAAAATAGAATACACTAAAACATTATATTAAAAGCAATTTGCTTTGTATTTGGTTTTAATTGTTTTGGGTTTTTTTACATATTAATATGTTCTCATCTGTGTTATCACGATGATTATGATTATTATTAATTTGAATCATCACTTTCTGCAGAGACAAAACAAGAAAAGACATTATGGTTGTTCTTTGGTGACAGATCTGTGTGTCATATGTACTACTGCTGTGTGTCTCTTGTACATGTTAATCAGAAATTAATATAAAGTTCTATATTAACTTATAAAAAATGCTTGTACTGTGATTCCAAAAATGTGATTAAAGATAAGTTAATAATAGTTTGGTGAGTCTGGAGAATGTTTTTATGTGAGCTCACAGTTTGTGCAACACTTCTTCAGCTGGTCCAAAATACACATATAAACCAGTCAAAGCATCACCAGGAACGCCTCGGAGAAAAGAAAAGTTTCTGCTCTCATTTTTCATTTTAATGATCACCTGAGAGATAAGAGAGCTTCCTTGTCATCTATTTGTATCCAGCACAGTATGGTACAGAGGGGGACACGAGATGTGATTCAAAACAAAGACTGACGCAACAGTCTGAGAGGGAAAGGCAAACATTCAGGCGAAGGTGCAAACAAGTTATGACAACAGGAACAAACATGAAGTGCAAAACACAGAACATCTTTACAAGACTGTAATAAGAGAATATAAAAGTACTGATATAAATGAAAGTATCATCAAAGTGTTAAATGAAAGTATTTAATAACTGAAGTGTACAACCCCGATTCTAAAAACTTGAGATGCTGTATAAAATGTAGATAACGACAGATTGCAGTTATTTACAGCTCCTGTTTGACCAATACTCAACTGAACACAGCACAATGTCAAGATATTCAAAGTTCAAACTGATAAACTTTGTTTTTCTTTTCGTAAGTATACACTCAGTCTGCAACACGTTATAATAAAGTTGAGACAGCAGCAACAAAAGACTGAGAAAAAAAACCACCTGTCTGAAACCTTCCACAGGTGAACAAGTTAACTGGTAACAGATTATTATGACTGGGTATGAAAGGAGCATCCTCCAAAGGCTCAGCTGTTCACAGGCCGGGACGAACACTTAGTAAAAAACTGTGAGGACAAACAGTCCAACAGTTTAAGAATGAGCCTCAACGTGCAACTGCAAAGAATTTAGTGATTTCACATCTACAATCCATAATATCATCAAAGGTTTCAGAGAATCTGCACAAATCTTTGCATGTAAGGGACAAGGTTGAATGTCGGTGACCTTTGACCCCTCAGACTGCACTGCAGTAAAAACCAACTTAACTGTATAAAGGATATTATCACATGGGCTCAGGAACGCTTTGGAAACCACTGTCAGTGGACACATGGCTGCATCTACCTATGACAGTTCAGACTCTACCTTGAAAAGACAGATATCAGAGCCAGGTCTCACTCTGAAGTCAAGCAGTGTTTGGGCAGTGACTTGTGGCGTCATAAACCAACAAAAAAGGCATCCTTTAACACTGGCATGATACGCAGCCAGTTGCCGTTATAGTTTAACAGTGTCTGGCGCCCTCAGGAGGGAACGCAGCAGGACAAGGAGGAAAGTTAAGGCTGGGAAAGTCCAAGTGGAGTAGGCAGGAGGGGTGGTGGATGGGTCAAACAAACACTGACTTTCACTTGAGAGAGTGGTGTTTGCATCCTGTAAGATTCTAAAGCCAAACCCTGTTCTTTTTTTCCTAAATCTAACCACGTGTGTTTGTTGTTGACAGAAAAAGACGTCAGTTCGTGGTGTTGTACCGACAGAAATTTCCTGTGAAAACAGAAGTGTATTTTGAAAACAGACAATGCATGTAACAGGCTGAAGTTGACACGGCGTCCCAGAACGTCAACAACCAACACACCCAGGGTACCTTGGACGTCATATGTGGACGTGGAAAGTCCATGACCAAACGTGGACATGTGACGATGTCACAGTGAGGATGATGTTGGAAATCAACAACATCCAGAAACAGCTCCACCCACTTCTCTGGGCTCATCTGAGATGGACTTACGCAAAGCAGTCTGACCAGTCCATAATGGACGTCCTGTCCTCCGGGACCATCCAGATTGTTACCAGCTCAAGGTTCAAAGGTAGCAGCTGTGATGGGATGGAGAGGTGCATCATGGGTAACTTCACATCTGTGATGGCTCCATGAATGCTGAAAGGTACACACAGTTTTTGGAGCAACATATGCTGCCATCCAGACGCCGTCTCTTTCAGGGACGTCCAATCTTATTCCAGCGAGACACTGAGACACATTGTGACGTGTTCCAACAGTCTCCGTAGTGACAGAGTGCTGGTACCTGACTGACCTGCCTGCAGTCCACACCTGTCTCTCACTGAACATGTGTGGAACATGATGGAGCATCGACCCCGGACAGGTGCATCATGGGACTGTTGAGACACTGAAGTCGGATAAACTTCAACAGTTAGTGTCCTCAGTTCCCAAACACTGACTGAGCGTTGGTCAAAGCAAAGGTGATGATGTCACAACTTTATCACAACCTGCTGCAGAATGAGTGATTTACAAAGAACAATAAAGTTCATTAGTTTGAACATTAAATATCTCGTTTTTGAACTGTAGTCAACTGAATATGAGTCAAAAGGATTTACAGATCATTGCATTATGTCTTTATTCATATTTGATATGGCGTCCCAAATGATTTGGAATCAGGGTTGTAAGCAGCGCAGTAGCAGCAGTTCGGGGCTCACTGACAGGATAGGGGGGTTAGGGTTAGGGTTAACCCCTCTACTCTTGTATAGCTCTTTTCTAGTCTTCTGATCACTCAAAGCATATTTACACTACAAGTCACATTCACCCATTCACACACGCATGCACACACTGGTGGCTGAGGCTACCACCTGCTACTCAGTAACCATGGAGGATCTATGATCCTGGAGGCACTGTTTGTGCATCCATCCACCTCTCCTGGAGGATTCCCAGGCGTTCCCAGACCAGATGAGATATATAATTCCTCCACTGTGTTCTGGGTCTGCTCCGGAAACTCATTTCAGATGATTGTATCCGTGATCTCATTCTTTCAGTCACTACTCAGTCACTACCCAGACATCATGACCATAGGTGAGGGTTGGGACGTAGATGGACGGGTAAATTGAGAGCTTTGCCTTCTGCCTCAGCTCCCTTTTTACCACAACAGTCTTGTACAACACCTGCAACACTGCTGACAGCACACCAAACCACCAGTCCATTGCATTACTCCATTTTAACCTCACTCATGAACAAGATAGATACTTGAACTCCTTCCCCCGGGGCAGTAACTCTCTCCCAACCCAGAGGGAACGATCCACAGTGTTCTGGCAGAGAAACATGACCTCAGATTTAGAGGTGCTGAATCTCATCTGGACTGCGTCACACTCGGCTGCAAACTGCCCCAGGTCATGCTGGAGGTCACAGTGTGATGAAGCCAACAGAACCACATCATCTGTAAAGAGCAGTGATTTAATAACTGTCATGGATGGAGGGGAAAGTGTTCCCAGTGTGCCGTCCTCTTCCTCGCCATCATCATCCCCTTGAATATTGCTAACTGACCTGCTATCAGAGGTATGAAAGGGTGGCATGCAACTTGTTCCTTTCTCGTTGTGGATGTGTCCCACCGCCACATTTTCTTCACCGCTTCTTGGTCAATCGACTCTCTAAATGCTACAAAACACTGAAAATCAAACCTGTTCAAAAAGCTTAAATGATGGGTGAAGGTTTCTAAGTCAGTGTCTAAACACGACTGACGCAGTGTGAGGGTGTGTTTATTTTTATGTGTACGACAATTTCAGATGACAAGTGTGTGTGAGTGAGTGTTCAAAGACTGTAACATTTAAAGTAACATTTAACACCTTAACTCAAAATGGCTGCTTCATCCATGCACACCGCTATTTTGGTATAACTGCACCTCAGCCTTGAGTGTGGTCAGACTGACCGGCTATAGACACTTTCTGTAGACATGGTTGGACAACACTTTGTACGAAACCGTTTCAAGAAATAGCTTTTAGAACACTCTGGCCTTTAGGCAGCAACATAAGCTTTCTCTTTTATCACTGTGTATTCTTCCTGTATGTTTTTTTCCAATCTAACATTCAGGTCACTGATGGTTGAGTTGTTTTCCCACTGGATCACGAATCATCACTCTAACAATGTCTTCAGTTAAAAAGCAGATGTAGCTGAGAGAGTTGAAATTCCATTCTTTGCTAAAATGTGATGAACCTCAACACAACCAGATATTTTAGCATTAAAATATATTTCTGATTTCTTTTAGTACAAGACTGTCCTTCAGGGGCCCGAGGCTCCAGGTCCATTGCGTGGCAGTTGGTTCTGTGATGAGGAGGTCAGTGTGTGATGAACTCCTCAGAGTTTTCAGATTTAAACCTACTGTAGATCTCTCCACTTAACAAAAACAAGAAATAAGTAAGTAGGGCTGCGAACTGCTTGTAAAAACAGGTTGCTGGGTCATATTTTGGATGACGGTGTCTGTGGTTATCACTTTTTGTGAACTGAATCATATTGCAGCTTTTCTGTTTAAATAAACAGCCGATGATTTTTGTCCAAGACAAATGTCCCTGCAGGGACAAATGAAATAATGTTGAATCTTTCTGTAGAGTCGCTGCTGTGTCGTCAGTTCGGTGAGTCCACTGGGGATGAGGTCCGACTGCTGATGTAATCTGACTTGAAGATGTTAAAAGAAGGAGAGGCAGAGTTTGGTCTCAGTCACAGCAGGACTGACTCACGTTGTGTCAGGAACTCCTCTGCAATTTGTAACCCGGAATTTTTACTGACTTTGAATAAGGGAAATGGTGTGTGTGTGTGTGTGTGTGTGTGTGTGTGTGTGTTGATGCAGTGAGTCCAGAATTTTAAACCAGCTTGATGTCTGCAGATCTCCTCCACAAGACATAAGACTGTGAATCCTTCATCCTGTGCAAACTTGCATTGTTGGACGGTCATGATCAACTCGTCACAGGTTTCATATTTCACTTTTGGTGCCTACTTTGAACTCGGGCTTCTGAAATACTTTGTTTTCGTGATCATAATGTCTCTATACATGTTGATTCTTTGCTCCAACCTCCTGCTGATTGTTGTTATCTGTGTGAACAGAAGCTTACATGAACCTATGTACATGTTTCTGTGCAGCCTGTTTGTAAATGAACTGTATGGTAGTACAGGGTTGTTTCCATTGCTGCTGCTTCAGATCCTCTCTGACATTCACACTGTCTCTGCTTCATTCTGTTACCTGCAGATTTTCTGTCTGTACACATATGCAAATGTACAATTTTATAACTTAGCCGTCATGTCTTATGACAGATATCTGGCCATCTGTTGTCCTCTGCAGTATAACACACGGATGACGGCTAATAAGATCACCTTTCTTATTGCTGTAACGTGGTTATTCCCTCTTCTTGCTATTGTTGTCATGATTTCCCTAAACTCCTCCTTACAGCTGTGTGGCAACTTAATTGACAGACTGTTCTGTGACAACTACTCTGTTGTGAAACTGACCTGCTCTGACACGACCGTCAATAACATCTATGGACTCATTTACACTTTCACGATATTAGCTGGTCTTGCAACAGTGATATTTTACACGTACATAAAGATTCTTAAAGTTTGTTTTTCTGGTTCTAAACAGACGAGACAGAAAGCCTCCAGCACCTGCACACCTCACCTTTTTTCTCTGCTCAACTTCTCCTTTGGTTGTTTTTTTGAAGTGGTGCAGAGCAGGTTTGATATGAGCCATACACCAATTATAGTACGTATTTTTTTATCTTTGTATTTTCTCACTTGCCAGCCGCTCTTCAACCCTTTAATGTATGGACTGAATCTGACCAAAATCCGCATCGTATGTAAAAGTCTTGTCTTTGGTAAAATGTAAAATACTCATGTTGAAAGCCGTGTAGTTTATTCCCTCAGCTACGATGACATGAAAACAATGTGGAAAGACTGATGCTCTGACAAAAGCCTGTGTTTGTAATGTGGGTAGTAAATGTAATAAATATAAGATTTAAAATAAATATGTGAACAAACGCTATGAAGGTTTGAATTTTTGAGTGATAAATGTTTAAGTTTGTAATTTGTTGAGTGTGTATAAAAGGTGCATCTTCACAAAAGATGTAATAGTGTTTCACATTTATTAAAAGAGCAGCTTTTTTCCACACAAGGCAGGAAATTAAAATCAGCAAAAATCTGGTAACACTTTCTATGAAATCAACACGAGACCATTCACAGTAAATTTTACTGCTTTCAAGATGTTTATGACCAGGCCCAAAGAGAATCTGCTGATGACCTCAAGCAGGATAAACAAACTACTGAGCAGATTTTAGGAGAAACTTTGAGTCAGAAATTTCATTTAATCCTGAATACTTCAAGAAAAAATGCAAACATTTGTTGGACAAGTCAGTCAACAAAGTGTGGAACACATTGCCGTTAAAACTGGAGCAGAGAACAAACATTAACAATTTATTAACAGTAAATCTGATTTGTGACATTTCTTCTCTCTACACCACTAACTCTGATTTTAATGCTCACTGCATACAACGCACAATCGTCACACATGTGCACAAGGAGGTGCAGGAGACAGTGACAACTTTCTGAGTTTTACAAGCAGCATCTAGATTCCTAAATTCTGCAGAAAATCTGTGGCTGCAGATTCAGTATGGAGCTGGTTATGACACACTGTCTCTAGGTGTCAGACTTCAGTCAGTATTCTTGTGTATGGTAAGTGTTAGTCATTTCTGATGCAGCATAGATTGTTTTAAATACATGAAAATGCATTACACTTTACTTCACGCCAACAATGAAACATTATGATGAAGCATGCGTTACTACAAATGCCTCAGTATTTACTTGTCTTTACTGAACACACAGAATGATATCTTATAATACTGCATGAACTATTATAATGTTCTACGAGTCCTCACTACAGTTGATTATAGGTGAGTAAAGGTATTCATGATGAATTATAAATCCCATCAGCCCACTTCTACACCATAAACCCCGATCCATCCATGTTACAGTTTAATGTAAAGTCTTCACAAATGTCCCGCATTATCAAAATTACCTTCACTTCAAACACGTTTGTCAACATGTTAAGTCAACAATTCTTGTGACTAAAATGCATAAATAAACACCACTATTATTGTGCACTTATCAGATTGTGGCATGTTGGAGCTAATTGGGCGGAGTTTCCCAGCATGCCTTGTGTTCAAGGCCATAAGCTGAACAAACTGTGTTTAAATGTGTTGTAAATCACGGACGTTACCCATTACACACTGATTGATGTTTCTGTATTTCACACTAGTTCTAGTGGGCTGCAGTTAATGTTGTGGTGACTAACATTTTGCACTGTGAGTGAATATATTATTATAGTTCATTCATTCATTTTCCATAACCGCTAACCCCGTTGGGGGATGTGGGGGGGCTGGAGCCTGTCCCAACTGACACTGGGTGAGAGGCAGGGTTCTGTGGGAGGAAGCTGGAGCACCTGGAGGAAACCCACGCTGAAACGGGGAGAACATGTCAGAGCACCTGGAGGAAACCCACGCTGACACAGGGAGAACATGTCAGAGCACCTGGTAGAAACCCACGCTGACACGGGGAGAACATGTCAGAGCACCTGGAGGAAACCCACACTGACACAGGGAGAACATGTCAGAGCACCTGGAGGAAACCCACGCTGACACGGGGAGAACATGTC